ATATACATTACGTTGTTGTTCAGATAAATTTCTAACGATCAAATTCAAATTGCCACTGGTGCTCTAAAAACTGAAGACAATTTGTCATGTTAGAAACGCAATTTGAGTTCAGTCTATATTTACATCTAACAGAAGGTTATCGATCTGAAACATTAAATTTTGTTACTCATTCTATAGATTCTGCTGAATATTTCCAGCATTTTTAGATTTTTACCTCAGATTACTGGCATGTAGTGTTTTGTCTTGATATGAGTATTAGGTATTTTGTTCGAATTCTGTAACAGGTAGTCAGTATGGCACTTTAACTACATTATGAACACGTGCAGCTAAGTTCCAATTCTGTTCTGGATATTTGCTCCTATTTTTTAAATTTGTCATGGGAGGTCCATTTAATGTTTTCTTTCTGTTCTGATTATTTACTGTTGCATTGAAATTTTGCTATGGGTAATCCGTATTACAATTCAGCAGTGAGTACTTGGTACCATGTTCTAAATATGCCTTGAGTATGTTGTACTGTGTTTTCATGTATTGTTGGTATTTTGTGGCATATTAGGAGTGCGTTGTTTTTAGGAGTATATTTTAATTCTGTCCGGGCACTTAGTTCTGCATTCCAATTGTATTATAGGCATTTCATATTTTTAACAAAAAAATTGTGTGTTTTGAACAAATAGTTTTCATGTGTCTTTGCCACAATATTTTGTATTCTTGATATTGATGTGGGCATCTTGCACTTTATTCTAATTTTGTTCTTGGTATTTGCATTTTATTCCAACTCAGTTTTATATTTATTTTATACATACTTCTAATTCTGCTGGGGTTGCTCTGTGTTCTGACTCTGTTTTGTTCCAATATTGGTACGGCAATCTACTTCTAGCTTTTAATCCCTTATTCTAGTGCTGCTGTGGTGATTTGGTAATTTGATGGCTATTTCATATAACTTTCTAATACTGTTGTACATGTGATGTCATAATCTAATTGTTTGAGAATGGTTTGCTTTCTTAATAAAAAAAGTTTTTTAATTTAGCTCTTTGCATTAGTGACTAGATTCCATTACTGTTGTGGCTGTTGGTATGTTCCCGTTCTGGTTCGAGATTTTTTTGTAATATTCCCGTTTTATTTGAAGCATTGAGCTCTACTTTCTCATATTCTCAAGCATTTTCGTATGGTGTTTTGATTCTGTGGTGCTACTTGGCACAATTTTTGATTCATTTGTATGTATTTGTTACCATATATTTTTCAAACAAACAATCGTCTAATGCTATTGTGGGAATTTAGTACAATCTTCTGTCTCCTATGACTTTATATGCCACAGAGCACAATCTGCTATTTAGGATAAGAGATCCATTTGAATGTGACAACTTAGTATCATTATTCCTACATTGATTTGGGTATTTTGTACTTGATATTGCTGGTGTTCTACTTCAATTATATTGGAGGTCCTTGGTAAGGTATCACATTAGTTTAGTGCATTTTTTGATTGTGTTCAAATTCTGCTGTTAGTATTTGGCGCTGGCTCCCATTTTCTGTGGCATCACTTTTTGATATCACATCCTCGTTTTATTTTGAATAGCTGATATTTTTGTATTACATACAAGATAACCCCAACAAAATGAGAACTTAACACCAAATATCAATACATCTCAAAAATGTAGACATAACAAAATCTGAAAAATATATGAGATGCTCACTAGGAAATTAGAACACAATTGCCACTTACAACAAAAAAAATCTGCATTTTGTATCTGAGCTATAACTGGATTAAGACATTATGATACATATTTATGAGAGTGAGAATATAATGCTATGATTAATGTTTTGGTCCTTTGAAGGGTACTTGGTGCTATATTTTGAAACACATTTCAATTCCAATACTTATTTGTTATCATTTTATATTTTGTCCTTTGATAGTTTGTTCCGATTATCCATGGTTATTTGGTGACAAACTGATTGTACCTTTTGTCAGTAAACAAACTAATTCTCTTGTGGATATTAGATGATAAATCTTGATTCTGTACAGGGCATTTTGTATCATGTCTTTTTTTTGTGGTACATAGTATTATACTGTGAAGCAGTTATCAGATTTTTCCTATTCTAATTATGTTGACAAAAAAGGCTCAGGGATAAATTCTATACTGATACTGCTTGCAAGGTTTTAATTTTGCAGTGATAGTTTTAGCTATTTTCTGATTCCACCGAGATATGTAGTAACATATTCTGATTGAATGATTAGTATTTAGTACTTGTTTTTATTATTCAGTGATGTCGTTGAATTCTGGGACTTGGTACCATTCTCAACTTTATTCTGCTATTTAGTTTTATTGGCTAATTTTTTTGTGTATATCTGGTACATTGTTTCTCATCATTTGTGGCAATTTAGTACAATGTTTTAAGTCTGCTTCTATCTGGGTATTTAGAACATATTTCAATTGCATTGTTAATTTGATAATACTGTGGTTAATTACTGTCAGATTCTTTTCTCACGATTTGGGACTGTACTAATTCGATTGTAATATTTTGTATTTGATGTAGAATTCCACTGTGAATATCGAAATTCTGTTACTAGCATTTACTAATGTATTCTAATTCTGTGATTTGTGACAGTATATTTGATTCAGTTGTGGCTAATTGGTAGTCTGTTCTGATTCTTTTTGTATATTTGCATAGAATACAATTTATTAGGCATAAATTAAATTTTCTGGGACATTCACATTGCTAATTATTTTACATATTCCGACTTGCAGATGATCTATGAGTATTTGGTATATTTTTTGTACATGGAAGCTTCTAACAATATTCAAAAGAAAGTGATTAAATGTACTTGTGATCTGGATATTCCAAGTCTTGAAAGTTAAAGCTCATTCAGTCATATGATGATAACGCAGTTCAGCTGCAGAGCTCCAAGAGATTGATATTATACCTCTCAAAATATATGTCTGCACATCCATTTTTGTGTGTTCCCTGGGTAAAGACTTGAACATAGTCACTAATTTTGGATAATATCTTTCATTGTGACATTCTTTAAATGAACAAAAAAAGCAGTAAAATGTTTTGTTTGTTTTTCACAAGATTGAAATAAAACAATAACATTTTGTAAAAATGCAACAATGGAAACCATTGCATACCTATCTGATTGTCAGTTTTTGGCCATTGCACCATTTCTATTGTCCAACCACTAACAAGGAGATGGTTGTTTGTGCCCAAGTATCTATATATCATTAAAATGATTCAGGTCAATTTTTCAGATTTAAAGTATTATTTTCTAACTTTTGGAGTCCCAATAGAAATCTCTTACTGTTACCCAAGCATTACTATCATGAATTTAATAGTTGTTAAGTATTTCTTCAATTGCAAAAAGTATTAATAATTTGCCTTCATAAACAGCTGTCCTTCAATTATTTTAAAGGTAAAGGACATCTGATGCACAGTATTAATCCCAAGGAAAGGGGCAAAATCTACCTACATCTCCTGTCTAATGTAAATTTCTAAATAAATACATACAAAGTAGTTCTGAGGAAGGGTCAATGGACCCGAAACATTAACTCTTGTTTTCTCCTTCACAGATGCTGCCAGACCTGCTGAGCTTTTCCAGCAACTTTGTTTTTGTTCTTGATTTACAGCATCCACAGTTCTTTCGTTTTTTATTTACATGCAAAGTAGAAATGTGTCCAAAATCATTTGTCTCAACAGCTCCTAAGACAACAGTCATAGGTGAATGAGATATTAAACCTCAGAATTATCCCAATAAGTTTTAATATATTCACTTCACTATTTTCGTTGACTGACATATCTTAGTAGCTGTCATTAAAACATTCTAGCTACTGTCAGGCAAATAATTGTGTCTGCACATCTATGGCATCAATGGAACAAAGAATCTATCACTAATATGTTGAACAGAGCTGAAACATCTTGCTATTATGCATGTGTCTCCATTATTTATACAACATGATCAGCAGTCAAGGAAATATAAAGACTCTGTTTCGATGAACTAACCCTCAGCAATCTTGTACTTAATACTGCTGTTCAGAATTCATGTGCTTGTCAATGATTGAACATTTGACAAGAAAATAACAACATTAATATTAAAGTCAAATAAATATAAAATTATTTGCCAGCAATATGAAGGACAAATTATATTCCTTTATGTAAAAGCCATGAATTGCTCACCTTCTTATTGGTCTCAATACATTTCAATTTGCCATCTATACCTTTCAACTCAGCCATTTAAAAGGAAGTACCAGCAACGATTAAAAAAACATTAAATCTGTGACTGGTGATCACAAGTGAGACAGTTTGCAAACGAAACCAGAATACATTAACTTTAAAGAGCGACCTCCAACAAAATTTATATTTTTAAACTATTCCAATGAGTGAGATGTGCAAAATTGTATGCATATGGCAATCTTAGTAACGAATTGGCCATTGTTTTGTCTTGAAACGTAATGTACTCAATGGTAGAACTGCATGATTTCAGTTCCTACCTGTGTTCTCCATTCCTATTATCGATGATATTAACGAGGTAGCATCCAGAGATCATTCTAGGGAACACCAACTGCTTCACAAACTTCTCCTTTTGTGCAGAACCGTGTCCAACTGTTGGCGCTAAATCCATTCCCATTCAGCCCTCGATCTTACTCCAGGTCCAACCAACGAAGAGAACGGAAAGCGGCAAGACTTGGTCCGTTCCATTCAATTGAATGGGAAGTCCATGCTCCCCGCCAGCGTGGAGCTCTAGCCAATTTCTAAGCATCTCCCTTTGCATCCTGTCCTGATGCCAGGCTCTTTCTAGCCACTTTGCAACAAAAAGAAAGAAAGGGAGGTGGTCTCCCATGGAATGGAGCAACAGTGGGCCGTGGGGTTTTGTTGGAGGCAATGGACTGGACAGATGGATGTTAACCCACCCGCACCTCCTATCTCCTGGACTCCAGAAACTGTAACAGCCTGCAATGTTGCGAAACCCCCTGACGTCACTCCCAGCATCCTCCGCACAATGGCTTCTGAAAAGAAGCTGGGGAAAGAATTTTTTTTAGGCCGTGAAAAATAGAGAAAAATAATTTCCAAAATTTGGAAAGTGGAGATCGCGTGCAAAAACTTATCGGAAAGAGATGCCGAGTCAACGGCGGTGAGTTTGCGCCTATTGCTGGAACGAATAGTGCGGGTTGTGGGGATGAAATTGACTAGTGAAGTGCTGGGAAGTTTCGCTGGGCAGTTTGTATGTGTGTGTGTTTGTGTGTTGTGACTGAGTGAGTGAGTGAGTCAGCTCGCCTTTATATTACATACTCCAACTTTCTTTTTCCGCGGGGGGCTACCAATTAAAATCACCCTCCTCTCAATCTGTTTTAAGACAGTTCAAATCCCACTTGCTGCAATCTTTTTAATTTTCAAGGGATTCTCTTTTTCCCCCCCCCCCCCCCCCCTCTCCACCATCCCCCTTGCCAGATCTTCATTTTTGGTGATTTTTTTTTTTAATTACGTGATCCAAAAAAAAGTCTTTCGGGGAGTCAGTTTCGTGTCTCCCAAACTTTGTCTTCTTGTGGTTCACGCCGCGCTGTTGAAATACGGTGCATTTTTTTTATTGCGGGGAGGGTTTTTACTGGAGTGAACTTTGCAACGATTCTGAATTGGAAAGTTTTAAACTTTTGAATTTCGTTTGGGGGTTGGTGTGGAGGAGTCGGTAAATATTTCGGTATCGGATCTTTCCCGGATTCTCTGCGCTTTAAGGTTTTATTCCCCCTCCACTTCTAAAAGTTGCACGTTATGAAGTTGGTTAACATTAACTAGTTTTTTTGTGTGGCTCATATTACGGTTTTGTTGCTGTGAGTCAGGAGCTGGGAGGTGGTCACGCTGCTGGACTGTGACAAAATATATGTAGATAACTAAAATCTTTCAGAAAAGCAACTCTCGTTTTGTTTTAAAATGGATAACTGTTGCACTTGTTTACTGTCGAGCTGTTGGCGCTGGTTGCGTTTCATCGACCATTGCACTGAAGAGATAGAATATTGTCCTGTGTTGCATGAAAAACTGTTTCGTCGTTACTGCAGTGTGTGTAGTAACACGTGAGGTCGTTTGGTTGTAAGGGCAACCAAAGAGAAATGGGGGCATTTAAAGATAGTGTTTCTTAAGTCGTTTGTCTGTTAAAAGTTAAATATTTAGTTTTCAGCTATTGCAAATATTGATGAAACGCAGTGGAAGCCGCGTTGTGCTTGCTTGAAGCTTAAAGCTTAGAAATAAACATTTTAATCTCTTATTTTAAATAACGATGATAATTATTGTTATAAGATGAGCGCTTTTGTAACGATTGGGTTTAGTTCAGTGTTGTAATTTCAAGAATTTGAGTCATAGGAGTCAGTTGCTTTTCTTTTGTGCATGTCATCTTAGTTATGTGCCTAATATTATCAGAACCAGTTGCTGGGTTTAAACGTTTTTCTGACGGGACAAGTTTGTCTTCCCAGTTTCATAATTGAATATATTCCTATGACATACCTGAAAGAATGAAATATGTAACATGTTGACATGGCAATCTGAACATTTACATCTCTTGTGGCAAATAACATATTGCACTAAATGTGTCTGCCCTCTGACAAAAAGAGTGAGGGGATAACTAATTCTCCTGTGGATAAACACCTTCAGTTCACTTTGGATCAGATGTTTGTTATTTGCATAGGATATAAGGTGCTAGATTTGTATTTGTTATTTATTTGAGTAAAACAATACATTAGCCTTGGAAGAAACATGAAATACAAATTATGTCGAATGTTGAATATTAGAAATAAATGCATGCATTAACTTATTTTAGATTTTTACAACTTAAACATTCTAATATTAATGTTAACCTCATTAATCAATAGTTGAGATAGTGAAGTGTTTTTTATGGAACATAAAGACAGTACATGATAGCTTGAAAGATGGGAATAACAATATTAAGTTCAGTTTAAAACTAATTCAGCAGTCAGTGTGAAATATTTGTAAACATCGGAGAACGTGATGTTTCACACCATAGTTTGAGTTTAACTTATCTACATTCTTGAATTGAAACTTTGATTGAGTTGTTGTAATATGCCGAGATAAAGCTGGAGGTTTGCATTAACTCCAATCAATGAAGAAGATACAAAACAAAGCAGACAGTTCATATGTACTGCATTCAAAAGAGAAGTGATCAGTTCTCGAGGTATCTGAACAAAAACTCAAAATTGAACTTGAAAATCTGATGCTGATATTAGAAATATTAAAATTGCACCAAAAGTTGTATGGTTTAGTTTCTTCAGTCTTTTAGGATACAGAGGTGTGTTAAATTATTTTATTTGGAGTTCTTAAATTGCTAAAAGTTGGAACTTTTAACAAGATTTTATTTGCTGCAAAGCTGACATTACAAGCTTGGTGTGTTTTGTATGTTGGATTTCACCTGTTTCAGAATAATTCTTTGTGTGCTCCTTTATCTTTAAAATATTGAGTGTGAAACAGTTTTTATTTGTTTAGACTGCTACTTGCCATTTGCAAAGAAAAATCTGGCAATTAAATGCCCTTCAAAAATAATTCATTTTGTACCCTCACTGATAAAATTGACTTATGAAATTGTATGATTTGGTTTGATGTTTCAATTTAAATGAACCTTATTAGAATACTTGGACAATTTCTTTAATGAAAGTTGTGGAGAAATTATCAAGTCCTTTAAAATATCAAAGGTTAGATTGTAATTGAAACAAATCCATTGAGGAAATGTGAGCATATGAGAGGGTCAGATTGAATAAAAATTTAATTGACCTTGAACTGTGAAAACATTTCACCTCTTATGGAATTTTGATGCGTTTCTAACACAATGTTAATGTTATAGTAATTACTTGACTTTTCCTAAAAAAAATCAATTTTATATTAAATTCCAGCTCCAGTAATTGCAAGAAATAAAGACAAACTTTTTACAGTTCTCAATAAAACACTGTAGTCTATTTTAAATTACCCATTGCATGTATTGCAATTAATTCTTAAAGGTTTTAACTGAATTTTCATTCTTCTGTGCAATGATTTCAATCCATATATGCCCAGTTGTCAGGGTATTATTCTGTAAACTATGCTACATAAAAACAAACTATGGAATCACAATATATTTTATGATGTTTTACAAAATTAATGTTAAAATTGAGTTACATGTGTTGGATGAAACATATTTTGAACTGCTTTTCTAATACAATTACAGCAATGAAAGATGCAAAGAGATTTCTCTAAGTATGGTTTCATGTTTCGAAAACAAAGTTGAGAATCATTAACTAGTACTTATTTTCCTATTAGTAAATTTGAATAGCTGTTGCTGCAGCAAATGTTTGTGAGGTGTAACTTTTACTGAAATTGACTTTTTTTTTCGATTTTTAATCAGGAGATAGCTGACAGTGCAAAGCATTGTGATTTTTTTTTTGAAAGAATCTTTGTATAACAACTACTTAAACATTTCCCAGTCATTTTGTTAGTTAGAAGATATGAAACATTCTCAAAAGCATAGAAATAATTGTGGAAATATCTTTTAAGACATTTGTTCATTTTGTGACAGATGGTGCTAGAAATTTTATATTTTAATAAATTTGTCTGGATTCTTCATTTGCTGCTTAATTTTATTTTTGAGATTTTCTTTTTTATTTCTGGTGTTTGGATGTGTCTGTGAATGAAAACTGACCACAGTCATTGGAAATAGATCCAAGTGTTTGATTTAAATTTTAAAGTTCAGTTTTAAAAAACACTTTTTTTTAATGGAAAAAACAGTGTTTATGTCAAGTAGTCATATCTCTAATGCAGTTGTGTAAAAATAGAATTATCTTGGATTTTATTCTCCATTTGATTTTCTCCATCGAAATCTGTCAAGTATTAGCTGAAATAGTCTGAGTACTTTTTCTGTATTGAATTGAAAAAAGTTCATTTTTCAATTAAACATATATAGTATAAAATAAATAAAAATATGTTTACTTGTAACTATATGCTTTCTATACCTTGCATGTTAACTGTTTAATTGAAAATAATTGTCTGAAATGTTATTTCTAAACACACCTGCCTTGATGTGTAAATTGGAGTTAGATCCCTTTAAAGTTACAGGGAACTTGGCTGAACTTGACCATTCAAGTTCATTGTTGAGATTCTTGAAAATATATTTTGCAATTTATTTTAGAATTTCTGCTACAGGCAGAATGAAGAAGTTGTTATTTAGTTTCCAGAATTTCTCTTGACTCAAACTTGTATTCGAACAAATTAATCTGTAATTTTGTTGATATGATGCAGGTTATGACACATTCAAAAACAATTTTTTTTAAAGACAGAATGCAGCAGTCAGTATCCAATTTCTGTTCTAGCACCTTTTTATCATCCGAAATTACCTTAGACAGGGACTATATATAGTGAAAGAGACTTATCTATAAATTGATTGCTGATAATCCAAGCTATCAAGACTCGTAAGAGGAAAGCTGTGTCTTTAGGAAGATACTAGCAATTATCTTCAAATGCTCAAAAGATTAGTTAAGCTTTGTAATGCATGTTATCAGGCAGATTAGTATCCCAGATCCCCGAAAATGTGTTCTGCTGTGAATCAGTTTGCTGGAAATTGACTAGGATCGTGTGTGTTGGAATTGTAGACTTGTGTTGTAAGAAGAGGCTGTGTTGAGTCTGCTTGAATATTCATGATGGGAGAATGTTTTCTCCAAGTAAAAGTAGATTGTGGATTCTTATTTCAGTTTGAAATAGTTGACATTGTCAAAAAGAAAAATGTGCATGATCATAAAACAAGTGCTGTTGAAATGGTGTTTCTCAGATTGCCATCTCTGACAAAATCTTGGGCAGACTTTTTGCTCGCCAATTTAGGCAGTTGATGCAAAGCTTTCAGTCAATTAATGAATAATTATGTAACTTAGTAAACTGCCCAATAGCCTGTAGGTAACTTCATATTGATCATTTCCCAAATGAAGTTGTCACTAGAAGATTAGTTACTAAGTTGTGCCACTAGTAGAGTATGTTTCACAGGAATTGAAGTTTCCACCAGATGTAGGCAACAAAACAGTAAAGCATTTTTAAACTGCATTTTTAGTGGTTCAACAAACAGTTGTATCCATTAAAATTTAGAGTCTTATTTCCAAGCCATAATTCATTCTT